TTTCTAGCTAATATATATTTCAGAAGTACACAAGTTTCTGCTTCTCAAAATTATAATAGAACAATGAATTTAGTTATAATTTTTATACAATCAAAGACTTGAAGAATTTTTCAAATGAAGTTCAATTAATAATAAGGGACTAAACTTTCAAAATATATCAAATAAATATGATTTCTAGCTTAATATATATTTCAGAAGTATACAAGTTTATCATAAAACTTTTTTTTGTCTTGTATAGTTTATTTAGTCAAAAATAGGTACAATTAACTGTACACAACAAATGATTATACATTTAATGTTCAATATTGACTACACGGGTTCCCTAACTGTTTTTCAAATTTGTCAAAAATGGAAATTATTATCCATATTAATTCTTCAAAGAAACCTTTGATCCAAGGAGCATATTGACTGTTGATGGATTAAGCATTCAATCATTATCGAAAACCATTATTTAGGCACATAACGGAGATGTGCCTGTCTTACACAAAATTGACAAAAAGACAAAGAATAAACCTTAGCCGATATTAGCCCTTTAAATAAAATTTCTCAAAGTGAAGTTCAAAGATATTTGAACAGTTTTAATAATGACTTTGTATTGTCTTTGAGGCGTTTTTTTCTCAGTTGTTTTAACTTTAAAAAGTTCAATAAAATATTGTTTGTATAAGATTTAATTAATTCACTACATTATGAAATATATCTAGCCAATCATATACATTATCATCATAATTATAAAAGTGCTATCGTTTAAGATGGCATTTTCTACTTAAGTAATAAAAAAAAGATATTCCTGACCATTTTTGCACACAGCAGTGTGTGATTATTATTCATTTGTACCAATAAAATAATTGTTTTCCAGACTTTACTCTATAAAAAATGTATCAGACATTAAAGAATTTAAAAAATGAAGATTAATGCTGTTTTTGTCTGGTTCCTAATTATAGTTGTGTGTCTTTCTCTCTGTCTCCTGACCATTGTTGTGTGATTGTCTGTCCGTCTACATGACTACTGCTGTGTGTCTGTCTGTCCGTCTATCTGACTATAGCTATTTACTTACATGCACGACTACCTGACTATTGCTGTATCATTGTCTAGATCTGTCTACCTGACTATATAGCTATGTATATAGCTGTCCGTCTACATGACCATTGCTGTGTGATTGTCTGTCCGTCTACATGACTATTGCTGTGTGTCTGTCTGCCTGACTATTGCTATTTACTTAGCTGTCCGTCTAACTGACAGCTAAGTACTATTCCTGACTATTGTGTCTGTCTACCTGATTATTGTCGTGTGTCTGTCTATCTGACTATGAATGTGTGTCTACCTGACCATATCTATGTACTTAATTAACTGTCTGTCTACCTGACTATTAATGTTGTTTGTCTGACTATTAATGTTGTTTGTCTGTCTACCTGACTATAGCTACATTGTATGTACTTAGCTGTCTGTCTACCTGACTATTAATGTTGTTTGTCTGTCTACCTGACTATAGCTACATTGTATGTACTTAGCTGTCTGTCTACCTGACTATTGTTGTTTGTGTGTCTACCTGACTATAGCTACGTTGTATGTACTTAGCTGTCCGTCTACCTAACTATTGCTGTGTGTCTATCTACCTATTGGTGTTACATGGCGGGTTTGAATCCCAATGTGGGACGTGGAGACCGACCCTTCGGATAAGACCGTATAAACCGAGGTCCCATGTCGCAGTAGGTACTGGTACGTACGAAAAGACCCTTCACTGATCAATGGCACTGAGTGTCGAACAAAAGTCTAAAGCATAACTCTGCCGACAAGCGGCGGTGTCTTAATTTGTGAAAAATCCTGGAAGGGACACTAAATAAAAAACAATCATTTGTGAGAGTAAGTTAATCTTCTAAGTTTTCCTCTTAATCGAGGTTCTTAATATTTGTATTTTTTACATTTCTCTTGAGAATCAAGAATATTGAAGAACAAGACTTTAGCGAAAAAGATGACTAAGGAACAAATATCCCGGAGACAGAAACTCTTCTTGATTTTGCATACAGTATTGCCTCGAAGATCACGGCAACCAATTAAATGTTCGCTTTTAAAGGAATCGCAACAAGTTAATATCACTGTGCATAGGAGGGATAATACAAATAGTAGGAATACTAGGAAACCTTCTGTATACAAACCGTGAACACGTTTTAGTTCTCATTGTATACATGTACTTTGCATTGTATGTCACATTTTCATTATTAGATTTTTTTTAGATCACCAGATCAAAAAAATATTTTATTCCGACGAACAATTTAGCAGTAAATCATATTTCTGGTTAACAATATACATGTACTTGCAACAATTTATATTTGTGCGAAAACTGAAATATAAGTAAAGTTTCTTGTTTCAAAGTGACTGATCTGTTTTGCTTCGTCTTAATTTTTGCCAAGTAGAATCCTTTCCAAAATTAGTACTATTGATTAAAAGTGTTTTTCTTAAATGAATTATGTGTTGTTGAAATGAGACGAGGATGAAGACTTTTGTTTATTTAGAAGGCACTAAATAGCAAAAAAGTCTTGACATACAAAGGAAATTTTGATTTAATTTTCCTCCGGTATTCCACGATTTTCAATCATCGGTTCCGTATCATAACTACCGGTAATTACCTTTCGAAAAAGTGATAATTGCTTCTCAATATATATATGTTACATTTTCTCTACAACCACTGCTATACTATTTGTAACGTTTCGCCGTAAAAGGGACTTGCAAGATATAGCAACTGGTGTCCATGTAAAAAAAAAAAGACTGATTTTGCTTTAACAAAGAATCCGACTGATGCAGAGAAACATGTGTCTTTAGGCGGTGAGGGGGATATTGCTGGAACCATTGCAGTCTGGCAGTAGTCGGGATAACAAGGTAGTTGTATTCTTTTCCGCAGACACTGCTCCTCATTTGCGCCCAAATTCTGATTATGCAGCGTTTAAATTAAGGATATAATTGGCGTCTTTTTAGACATCATTCTAGAGATCAAATTGGAATTCGTTAACGAGCACCAAATTTATGTAGGGAACCAATTAATTTCAGATGAGGATAAACAAACCAAAATTCTAACGGCGGGTCCTTGTTATACAGCCTAATTCTTCTCTTGTCCGTGCGCTCTACACAGTTTATAATTGGCAATTAGAGAGCGGTGGGGGCGCTTGCATCAGGGGAATTTGAGCATTATCTTTTCAATAGAGTTGTTTCACATTAATTACATCGAATCCGTCATTCCCCATTATAACAACGTCCAATTATTGAGGGTTTATGTACTTGTCGATTCCCCCTTCTTTTCTTGCGTGGCGGTATAATTTGGGGATTTGCGGTCGGGCGGATTACCCCGTCCCGTGACCAACTGATTCAGAGAGTAAAACTTTTCCCGTAAATGGCAAAAAAAATATTTGTTATTTTTCCCATTCATATATTTTCTGCAAAAGTGAATGTTTCTACACTTACTTGTCTAAGATTTCATTTATGTTTTTGCAGAATTTTTTCCCAAGAAAAAAATTTACGTCAAAACTGAAAATAGTTAGCTAGTCTCTGCTATAAATAGGAAAAATATCCATTCATTTGTTCTACATTAAATATATGTTTCGTGTCCTTAAAAAGTGAGAAAATTTTACCGGGATTTTAGATATTTTAACAAATCTTTTTATTTAGTTATGATTTATCATTTGTGTACAATTATTGAATTGAACAATGTGACAGAATCTTTTTTTTTAAAATTTATCGTTTCCTCGTCTTTCTTGGTGCATGTTTTTGCAAAATCACGTATTTTTTTCCCTATATATACATATGAATTTTTTTCTCGCTAATTTACCATTTTTATTGAATGAATACATGACATTTACTAGTCATGAAGACCTCACAGGCAATTGCAAACTGATTTTAAATTACTCTTAAGAATGTATTTAATACAGACAATTTAGAGTAAAACAGTATTTGGTTGCCTCCCTGCCATATGTTTGCCATGTGATTTTTGGATCCTATGGATCTATTTGGTGTAAATGTAATATATTCTTAATCTAATTGGCAGCAGTAGTCAATAAAACAATTGGCAAGTCTCTAATTAACAGAATACAGAATTAGCCGTGCACAAAAGAATCATTTTTAACAATTAATTTTTCGCATTATTTGCTGTTTTGTACTTTTATGCTGCCCCTAATCTCCCCCGACTGCAAACAAAATTAATTAAAACGAATGAGTCAGTGGCGTTCTATCAGTTGATTGTGGAACAGATTAATGATATCATCTGCTAATTGTCCGTAATGAAATGTGAAAGAGGAATGCGTACCCCGGATTCAAATTCTATGTGCATTCATTGATTAATTAAAGCTATCGGCATCTACTCTGTTTACACCATTTAATTTCCCAAAGCTAATGAACTTGACTTCTTCTATTGTATAAGTCCATTAGAATCGGCTTTTAAGTACTTATAAAAACTTGTTGGCACATTTTAGTTTTCTGTAATCCTCATATGACACCCGAGAATGGCGCGGAATTGTAAGGTGCGAATCCAAAAAATCGCAGAACAAAAGACGCTTTGAGACTGATAAACCCCGAGGAATCTTTCAGTTTTCTTTTGGCATCTCTAATGAATTCCTAGGAATATCAATATTTCGTTGACAAGGCTAATTACTTTGCAGTTTGTATGTAAATATTGACTTGTGAATTAACATTACACGTTTCCTTTGCTAAGAAAATATTCTTTGTATTCTCGGTAATTGATTTCTCAGATAGATGAAAGGGTTATATAATTTCACAGTACACAAACCAATTAAAGTTATTCTCCATTAAAAGACACAGAGCAATAAAGAACTTTTTTTGATCGACACAACTCTATTAAAATCTGTTTAAAGATTTATAAATGCTTTTAACAATATTAAACGAAAACTTCCCATTAGCTTTGTTTACATAGGGCGGGACTACTTTCCGCTCCATTCAACGTTTAATGTAACGCGCCTCCTGATTGGTTGTACACTAATGACTAATAATCCATTCGCTCTCCAGATGTGGTCTATTCTCAGTCAATATTTTATAAAATAGTCGGACCCCACAATCGTGAAAAGCCGATATGATTTTAGATAGTGTTCGGATTGTGTGACTGTCAGTTAACAATTCCTTACCAGAACTTGGATTCGCCATTAGTGATTTTCACAGGTTTTCATTAAAATTTGAGCACTTAACTTTTTGTGATTTATTTTAATCCCACGTGGTGGCTTAAAACTTGTGTTGTCAACACACAGTTCGATCAATAAACACGCTGTCGTTTATTGTGTTTAATTTCCTTGTATAAATCGTCTGCTTGGGAGAAAAAAAAACTTGATTCTATGTGACAATCTAACTGTAGGACAATGACGAATGGTATGTATAATCCTTGTCTCTTTTTTTGAATCTGCTTATAATTTTTTTAATTTGGCTGCCAGACCAAGAATGCATATTATTTTGAATGCTGTGCATTTGTATACATTTCTTTCATAACATAAAAACGATTATTAAACACAATGTTTAAAGACAATTCTCTGTTTTGATTTACTTGCAAAATATGATAATGGAAGTTATGGTTTTCCAAAATCATTTTAATAGATATGAGCAATAGAAATAAAAAAGCAGTAAAACTACAAAAATGAATCTGTACACATGTTTTATAATGCTAATCTTGTATTCTTTCTGGAATGTTTAAAGACATCATTCACGGTAATAAACTGTCATTCTGAATAAACATTGAAGCTCCACGTTTATAAGACGAACACCTCGCTTCGTGGTGTTTACCCATTACACACCTTGTAATCTGTATCGCTGTGGAAGGCTTGTAAATTTTTCATTTTCCCTCCAAATTTTATATCTTATACCGTTTTCCCTGATTGTTACTGATTTGGTGGTATTACGTTACTTTGACTGAGGTCTATTATTCCAGGTTCATTACTGAGATGCTTCTAACTAACCAAGTTGTCCGTGGTAATGAATAGCGCAGTATAATCATAGTCCACAGAAAACGATTCTTTATCAAAAGCTTAACTAAACATTGAAAACGCTTGATGAGATGGAATGTAGGATAGTAAATACACTAACTGGAAAATTACCTCCAATTTATAGACGTGTGTTTGTGGAGATGCGGGTCAAACCTATAACTTTTATCATTTACAGACGATCTACTTTTTCTTGTTCATTAAGACGCAACCTTATAATATATAGCCTGATTGCTACTTCTGAAACTTTTTTTTCTCTTTCAGCTATATGATCAGGAACAGCTGTCATAGTCTCTGATGTTTGATATGTTTTTAAGTGGTTGATTATATTGCGTGATGCAGAGGCTGTGTAGGTTCATTAGCAATACTTAATTCGTTCTCTTGCTCCACTTTGTCTTACTTCTTCAAGTTACTCAATGCTAAATGTATGCACGAGAAGAAATGCATGCACTATAACTGTCGCACGCATTGTGTTGATTAAGATGCCCCCCTTGTAAGTACACCAAATTTCTTGACATTAACATTGGAAACTCGATCAAGAGCAAAGAGATAATATCGATACTTCTTGTACTCTCTCGAAAACTCTTCTCCGTGTGCACTTTGTGCAGAACATTCCTAGATCTCTAGAAACTAGAGGATCCTCCAAGTGTACCAAAGTCAACATGGGCTTTCTCCTGCTCGTCACTTTGTTTGAAAAAGGATTTTGTCTGTATTCAACCTGGATTCAAATAAAACCATAAGATCCGCCCCTGCCATTTTTCCTATCTGTGTATTTGGGACTGGTGGCGGTGTTTTATAGGTCTCGCTCCGTCAATGTGATTGATCATTGATTACTGACAATTCACTTTATTATGATAACTGTCACACAAAAGTTGACCCCGGGTCAGGCACATAACGTCTAATTAGTCTTATGGCTGCTTATGATTAAACAGACTAGATACAATATAACGGATACAGACACAATCTTCCAGCATGTCTAATATAGGTTAACCATTTCAGATAAACTTCAAGTCATTTCAATTTTTTCTTTGTTTGAACAGAAACCACTCATTTTACATCATTTCAACCGTTGCTAGATATATCAGCGCTTGGGATATCCCCGATTGATTCCCATTTCCTGTTCATCGCTTCATATGTCAGTTACAGCCTGTTATATAAAAATTCACATCTGTATCATGTAAAAATCATTGATCAAAATATTTCTTCAATTTTTTTAAGGAACAGACGACAGTTCGATAACCCTAGTAAACGGAACAGGAGGCATGTCACAGGGAATCGGACCAGCTTCCAACGCCCCAACAGACGGATACAGTGCCCCCATCAAGGCTTGCGCGGGGTGCGGATCTAGGATAAGTGACCGCTTTCTTCTTCATGCGATGGAACGTTTCTGGCACACAGGGTGTTTAAAATGTTCCTGCTGTCAAACGAATTTGGAGCAGCTGGGTTCCTGTTTTACGAGAGCTGGCATGATATTGTGTAAAAATGACTATATGAGGTAAGCATGATATTGTGTAAAAATGACTATCATGTAAATGTATATGAGATGTAAGGAAGTTTCAAAAAACTCACATAGTAATACAGCATAGGTTTGAGGTGCTGAAAGAGAAGCATTTGTAGTCCAAAAAAGACTGATATAAATTCTCACAATGGTGCGTAGTTATAACCATAGACGTTGTACACCTCTCTACCCATCGCATGCCACTATCCCTATCTAATTAACTCCATTACTGCCCCAAATTAATTCGGAGTGTTAAAAACTATCGAACTCTTTTTTTTGCAATGCTATTCATGTTATTTCTACATGAGCTGTAGCCATCTCCCCCGTTTTTCAATTTCCTTCTCTCTCATTATAAATTAATTGGATATTTCTATTACTTTGGTTTGTAGCCGAAATTCGGTGCGCTGCGAGGGATCTTTCGTTAATAAAACATATATCTCCCTAATTGAACGTTCATTAGAAACTCTAACGACCGACTATGTATGAAAAACACATGGGTAAACCAATCTCGCATCAAATTTGTGAAAAGTAAACGAAACAAGCCCCTTGTCTGAAAATCTTGTGTATTCAAGACATAATGGAGGCACTTTGGGGTTTATTAAAGCATAATTTGATAAAAACGGTTACCTCTTTTACACCATTGAAGTCTTTCGTTCACCTCTGCCATGCTTATTTGCCAGCCTTTTATTGTACGTTTTTTCTGTGTATTTTTCATTAAGAAATGATTAAGTTTAGACATACAGTTTTAATCCAGACTAATTTGTATTCCCCAACCTCAACCAATTTGTAGCGAGGTATTGTTAATTGGTTCTTAATTGGGAGACGTTTTTCAAAAATAGAGAGGTAATGAGTTGAAGTTAATTTGATATTAAAGTAAATACCAACCAATGTTCTAAGGATAACGTGAAGTGTCGGACGAGTATGAAATGAAAAGATTTAATCATTTTGGCAAACAGAAAATAAAATATCGAATCATAGTGAGACTGGGAGATAACCGAATCAGCTTATTAAGGAGGCACATCTGCTCGGAATTGCCGGTGGTTAGGGTTAATGAAGTAGGATTGAAGGTGGAGACTATTAGAGGCTCCAGAAATAATAACATAAATTTTAAAACCAAGAAATAACTCTTAAATTAATTTAACTCCAGGGTGATCGTGCTACCTTATAAACAGGAATAAAAATAGGAGTTATAACTAAAATTATTTATGAATAACGTTTAAAAAATCATTTCCCCCATAAACTTAGGATGCTGAGAGGTTTACCTATACTGCAACGAAAATCAAAATCCGCGCTCATAATTTAAGAGTCCAGCTCGATACAATGGTACATATGAAACTTAATTCCAATCACTTTTTCAAAGATAAGTGCAATGATTTCTAGATTCAGACAAAAAAAAAAAGATTTACCTGTGTAATGTTGACCTTTAAGTTTTCTATAGTTTTACAGCAAGCATCTGAAAATATATGAGTTTGACTGGTTTTTGAACTTTTTTAGAAGGGAGTGTTCGAGACGCGAACTCGAAATATTTCTCCACAAAAATGATGAATGTGGAATAGAGGCCAGAAATATGACAATAAAGTATCTTAATATTGCTGTTTACATTTCAGCAAACATCTGATAATTAAAACACAAAACAGATGCAAGTTTTTAATGAGACGTAACGTTGTTCCTGCTGTCAAATTTTGTTACCGGAAAAGGAACACGCAGCGCAAGGTCGGGAAACAAAGTCCAGAACCGAGTATGCGACTCATAACTATCCGGGAGATCAATGTCAATTTTCTTTTATCAATGTTAGATGAATATTTGATAAGAATATTCTAAATGGATCCAGATTAATTGATTTGATATAGACCTCATCATGTTGATAATTTGTCACCGATATTGTTCAAAGGTCAAAGCTAAATACGCTATTTATTAGAGAATAACTTCATTAACGAAATATTGCGATGACATGACATAGGCAATCTATTTTGTTTTGTTCCAATGTAGCGTCTCAACACAGTTTTATTCTCGAGTCATATGGCATCCGGATTTTTAATTAAAATATCAATTTTGCACAACGTGGAAATCGGTATCTTCTTATCTGAAATGATTGACTAGCGAAATGCTATATGAGGTCTTTAAATACTATATTCAATTACTTCAGTTTTGATGAATAATTCGATATTACATTTATTAAATTCAAAATCAATGCCAGTTATTGAATATATTTAATTTAATTTAATATTAGACCCTTATCCCAGGGTTGTAAGTCATGAGAAATAGAGTAAAAATACCTATCATGCCACTTCATTAAAATATGAATGAAAACATTTATTAAATTCAGAATTGAGAGAGAGAGAGAGAGAGAGAGAGAGAGAGAGAGAATTTCTTCTCTTTTTCACTTGTGCGATTAATTTACTGTTAAACCGTATGGTTCATTTGTATTGTGCAAACTTGGAGAAAGATTTGATGTGTAACAATGGAGAAACAGCTGTTTTAACAATCGATGTTGTTTGTCCTGCATCTAAATAATGCAAAGAGGTATTTTCTAATTAAGAGACGCAAAGTGCGTTAAATTGCACTTAAAAATGCCCCTTCATATTTTGTTTCCTGGATAATTATTTTTCGTTTATTGTTACACCCTCTTATATGCCATTACCAACATTAAAAAGCTTTAACGTTTGATGCATTGGTTTTAATAAGAAACTTTTATATTTCAGATTATTTTGTTCCGGTGGCTCATGCGCAGTGTGTGGACAAAGTATTCCCGCCAATGAAATGGTCATGAGAACACAAGGGAACGTTTATCACCTCAAATGTTTCAACTGCTACACGTGCAATATGCCTCTTGCCCCTGGTGATCGATTTGGGGTGGTGAATGGCAATATCATATGTGAAAACGATTATTCCAAAGCTAATGTGAAAGGTCAAGTGAATGGAAATTCGCGGAGTCACAAATTTCGCGGCATCATACAATCAACGTAAATTGAATGTGACAGATGAGAGATAATTTTGTGCCATTTCAGTATAAAAGATTTTTCGATTAACTTCATTTTTGTCCTTTGTTATTTCACTGAACTCCTCATTTTTTGAAAATTAATTTAAAATTCACCTAAAGTACACCCCATACAGTTGTTTTTTGTGAAACTGTTAAATTTTCTTTTCTTTTGGTGTTATATTTTGTCTTTAAATCATTGTAGTGTCCATCTTTCTATTTTTATGGTTCTGTAGATACCTTGGTTACTGTGACACACTTTGGTTTTTAACCAAATTATTTGAATTAAGATTTCTTTTAAGTTACAACAGAGTATTTTTAACAATACATATATATGAGTAACTTTCATTAGAACATTCCACATACTTGAATAACATTCTTTCTGTAATAAAGCAACATATTATACGTATATAATGCCCAATCTGAACAAAATCTTTAGAATTTGACAAGAATGGGTCAAAGTAAAATTAAATTTGTCCATATTTTTTATTTCTCATTTATGTTGTTCCTTTGCTACAATCATGTTTTTTTTCAGTGCTGATGTGGTAAATGGAAACCACGCAACTCTCCTTTAATTGTTATATCATGGACGTTCACCGGCTTCAAATGTGTCGTGTTCGTGAAAATAATGATATTTTACATAATATGTACATTTTCATAATGTAATCTGTTGTTGATAAATATATTTGTAACGCCTTCAAGTGAACGTTTGTCTTGTTTATTTCATAAATAAAATAATGAAATTGTTTTTCTTTTATCATTCCAAAATGAGCACACCCTTCTATGAAAATATTATTGATAATTAACACCTCTTGAAAATGTTATTACAATAAATTAACTTTATGCAAGAATGATTCTCCATTAAAATGTCAAATAATCTCTGAAGCGGAGAAAAGAGATGACAGAATTTTTACTAACACCAATTTACACACTTCAATTTGTGGAAATGAAACATAATAAAAAATATTTCAAGGGGAAATCTGTTGCTGAGATTTTTCTTTAATTAAATGAAATACTACACTGGCTTAATGTTATATTTTCTGTTTCACACATTGGCTAAAATAAGATTCCTGGGATAAACGAAGATGTTCACGTTTCTTGGAAATGTCCTTGAACTATCAAGATTACAGAGATGGGAAAAGGGGGTTCTTTAGCACAGAAAACCAAACCCACAAGGGCAACTAATCCTGTTCGAGCGCCTTTGCAGTTAACCAATAAGTAACCTGTAAGTATAGCTATGATGTGCACATGTCTAAGGTTTAATGTCTTTTTTTGTCTGAATTTACTAGAAAACAAAACTGTCAAATGAAATTGCTCAAGACTGTTAACAAGCTAATTTTGTTAATTTTTTTTTTTTAATTTTAAATTTTGTGCACGACAGGTTAACAAGATAACGATTTTGCGGGAACAATACATCAATTACAATATACAGACAATAATATCAAACTGTTACATCTTCTCTGGCGCATGCAATGCACCAATACATTAGACTTGCAGATATCTCATTACTGTATATGTAGTGGATTGGATAATTCGCGCATTTTCTATATTTCCGTATTGGTACTAATTGTCTATGATATTGATCTATTCTGGTAAAATACAGATGATCTAAAGGTCAAGGTTAAAGGCAGTATCGACGAGGCTTAATTTATATTAATCCTAAGCGTGGGACATTTATTTCCATGATTAACTAGGTTTCTTCCTCCTAAAATAGGCTCTAATTTACTTTTTCTCGCTTTCTCTCAAGTTTTTTTTGTGATGCATTGCATTCAAACTTTGATTTTTGTAACGGCAGACAATGTAGACGGTAGCTGAAATGATCGAGTTAATTATTTAAACCTATAACTGCTATCTATTCATTTCCGTTTTGCTGAAGAAGAAAATGGCCTGCAACGCTGTCATGTAATATTTGATCGAATGTTCGACTATAAGATTACGATGTTCTTTGTTACAGTGCCTCAGAAATCAAATACATTAATGTGATATGTTCAGTCCAAACGTGGTTATGTTTTAAACGACGTGTATATTAAAATCTATAAAAGTCAATCGATATTTAATCATAAATTGCACGGAATAATCTAATCATATATATTGCACTATACATATTAAATTGATGATTACAAAATGAAGTTGGAGATGCCTGTGAATCCTCGATGAGTCGATGGTTAAAGTGTGGCGAGATTACGAAATTCAATTCATTAGATGCGTTTCTGCGAAAGTAATTCTGTTGATTTGATTAGAAGACTGACGAGATTAAACAAAACTTCAATCTTCCGAAAGAAAAAAATCACTTTGAAACCTACTGAAGTTTCACAGGATCTTTTGACTTCTATCGCAGTTTTGGGAAAATGACGAAGTCCGCTTCCCACCCTTGTTACAGGAATGACGCGAATTAATATACAGTTTTATTACCAAGTGAAATAAAACAGATTTCTTTATTTTCCAGAGCACATGGGAATTCTATCTGCGATGTAAGTGGCATTATCATGGTAAATTGACCCTTGATAGTAAACGCTTACTGGCATCTTTTTTCAAGTCATTTATTTAAGGTGAATTTGCGCCAAAAGTCTACGCAAATCGATTTTTGTTACATGTGCATAGAGTCGTTTTATTTACCTTAAAGCTAGACATGCTATGACAAATATTTATATCACTTGACATTCGGCCTATTTCGATCTGCTAATCTCACTAATTGCCAAATTACCAAGATAAAAAATATCTGCATGTGAGTGAAACATCGCCACTGGGGTTTATTGGCAATTTGTAGGAAATCCGCTGTGTAAATATCAATAAACGTGAAAGTCAACATTGATATTGTAACAATATCATCAGTGAAATAGATTAATTATACAATTAACAAATGTAACATTAAAATACTAAAATTTATTACAAGGATTAAATTCTTTTTCTAGTTTTGAAACAGGTTTTTCACAATTAAGACACTATCATAAGAGATATACGTATGATGTGGGATTGTCAGGGCCAAAGGTGCATTAACCCTATAATGGATGGAATGTTGACCAATTTGTACAAAATAATTTGTCTATCCAAGCAGACCATTCAAAATGGAAAGAAAACAAAACAGTGCTAATACCCCCTTTCCTAATACAAATGTATAGTGGATAGAAAAACTTAATTATCAATCTGTATTATCTTGCGGGCTAATAGCTAAAATACCCAATCTCTTGCGAGGAGTGATGGCAAATATACCTAATTGATAGAAAGATGTCAAATTGTTTACTAACTTGATGGGTAAACAGCAATCCGAAACACCGGAAATGTGTTCCAACCGGAAGTGAATCGCAGGTAAAGAAGTCCAGATAAAACAGGAATGCTGTCAATATGAAATGCAGCGATTTGTTAAATACTGAAATCATAGGTATAGGAATGATAAACATAAAGAAGACTGGAAACTTAATAACTATTTAACAACCAATTTGTCTTATTTGCACATCACACAAGAGAGCTGTTTGATAACCAATTAGTATTCAAGGTCCTGAGCTAATGGTCTACAAATATTTGTTGAACGAGACTGACAATCGTCCTATTTTACTTCTAAATTAGTTTAAGAAATGTGCACTATAACGAGAAATTTCGTGTGAATGCCTCGGAAACTGGATAAATGTGCCTGAATTACGGTTTGGTAAATATGTACAATTTTTCAGTGGATTTAATAGAAGTATCAGTTGTCGTGCAAATGTCCGATGTAATTTGTTTACTTGACGATTTCTTCTAGTAGGGCTTTGATGTCAAAGTATGGGATACGCTATTCGGACAGATTCCAGTGATTGTTAATTTGTGAAAATAATTGACTCGCCCCCAAAATCTAATACAATTTTACTAAGACCAGGATTACCCCCGCGAGAAGAGCCTTCAACTTGTACATTCAGGGCACTTTCCAGTCCGATGCCTCGAATTGCTAAATATTGGCATTTGTAAATGGACGTCCTAATGCAAGATTGACGAAATTTCCATTTGTCGAGCACTAATTGAATACCGCGGAAAAAGTTTTAAGTGGAATTATCAACAAAAGTGTGATCTTATCATTCCCTAGACCTTCTCAGACCAGGACAAGCATAAGTGGTATATACACGGGCAATTAAAAAATTTCAAGACTTTCATTCCGTGTCTGTCTGAATATTTTCCTTACACTTTAGGGGGAATCGCGTTGTTTGGAAAATGTATTTGGATTTGGAATTACGGGTTCATTATAGCTAAATCAAATTTTGTTGGCTTTCTCTGGTTAATTCCTGTGTATATTTACAGTGAGACAACCTACATGCACATTTCAGATACGGTCATTTCTATTTCATTCTGGTGAAAGAGGTGACCTTAAGTGTCAGCTTAGAAAGTTTACATGATATATTAGTTTATTAATTTTATTAATATTACATGATTGAATAATTCCCACCTCCGTTATTGGTTGAGATGAAACATGGTATAGAAATCATATCATTTAATCGCCCTTCAGACTCGATATATATTTACTCCTCTGGTTGCTAAATCATAAATTGTCGTATTGACCGCAAAATAGCAAAAAAAATTGTATTTTGTAAGAAAGTTGGTCTTGAAAATGCATAGAGATCTATAATTTAAATGGCTAAATGCATCATTACAAATTCCTTTTGTCAGACAAATCCCAAACATATGAAAGCCCATTAGCATCAGTTTGAAAAATAACAACATTCCCATGACAAATATCAAGGTTTTTGTGATATTTGTTCCTGTGATAAGGAAGTTTCAAACACATCAAAACCTTGACATTGGGAAGAATCTATATCTCAGCTTATGAGATAACTATCTCGTAATACCGAGAAAAAATCCTCGTAATTATGAGATATATAGTGGGAGTGTAACATTTTTACTTGATAAAGATAGTCCTTCATACATGCAAGCACTTTGAAATGCCAATAAATTATGAAATATTAATCTTAAGATATATTTAGACTTAACAAGCTTCAATTTCTTTTGTCTTTAATTAATGAGAACTCGATCGCGGTTCTTTTCATTTTCTAACTTCAGCTTGAAATAAAATAACGAACTGAAAGTAACCCACTTACATGCTATGGCATTGTGTTTGACAACTTCTTGCACATCTGGCACCTGCAGCCTGTTTTACAAAAAAGGTGTCTTTGAAAATAGTCGGTTTGAAGTTGGTAGTTGAATAACATAATTGAAAATTTTGTTATAGGATGTTCAAAGAATATATATACTGATCAGTCACGACTCACGACGTCAGTTCTGGTCATGTTTTTCTCTCAGTCGCCAGATTTAGCAGCTGCGACATTTTTGTTGCACGCGATACTGGATTGCCACATGCAACTGACGTTACTTGAATTTTCAAAGTCAGTCACATCCACTTCTATTTTCGTCTGAAACTCCATAAAATAAATTCCCTGCAACTGTATTCTACATGTGATCAGTCTTTCAAGGTCTAAACTTACGGACTGTGCAACCAGAACGAGACATCACACTTGCAAATATTTCTCTCGTTACTTTTCAACAATGCAAGAAATTGCTGCAAATATGCAAATGGAATTCCGTAAGTTTTGGGTGGAAATTTATCTTGTCAAACCGCACATGACATTTGGGTGTGCTAGACTGTGACGTCACATGACGTCGTGATGCCATCTTTTGCGTCTGCACACGTTTTAAAACAAATTCGCATGGAAATTTGGTCGTAGGCCTAATGTATTTTGCATTTTTTGTCATTTTCAAGAGAAAGTAGCTTTACGAAGCGATGCATTG